AAAACATAAACATAACCAAAAATCAGCCAAATCCATCCAGGGGTTAAAAGTTAGCTGGAGGTCCCTTTATGACCGACCGCAAGCACATTTTCCTGCCCAAAACAGTTCCATAGATTTGGGCTGTGAGGTCGGTCTATTTCAGGCTGAAAAAAGACTAAGTCCCATCGCCGAATGGGACTTAGTCTCTGCAGCTGAAATAAGGCTGAAAAAAGCGGCTGAAAAAAAGACTAAGTCCCATCGCCGAATGGGACTTAGTCTCTGCAGCTGAAATAATTTCCCATTTACTGAACCAAGTGGGAAATAGCAAGGCAGGCACAAAGGGTTTACACCAGGTCTGGGGACACAGGGGACACCGTCTTAAAGGGGCAGTGTCCCCAACAAGTCTGGGGACACGGCCTTAAAGGGGCAGTGTCCCAATCTTCCTGATGTCCCAAAAAAGGTGTTTAAGGGGCCAGCACCAGTCACATAAAGAGTCCATAAGCCCCAATATGCCCACCGACAGTCTTAAAGGGCCATACACACCAAATACAAGTGCATACATTTTCACAATCTCCCAGGGGCCATGGTCATGCGGGAGGAGGCTGGCAAATAGGCTTCTCCACAACCCAGGGAAGCAGGGCAATTTGCCATTTAAAGGGCCCGTTACAAATAGCAGTTTGTAACAAGGTGTCAATCCATATCTGCCAAGTGACCCGATGTAGGGGGACGAGTCCCTATTCTGCTCTGTGTCAGTGTGTACCAGGGAACCTTAGGACAGGTGTCAATCCATATCTGCCAAGTGACCCTATGTAGGGGGACCAGTCTCTATTCTGCTCTGTGTCCATGTGCATCAGGGGCTCTGAGGACAGGTGTCAATCCATATGTCAAGGTGTCAATATGTCATATGTCAGGTGTCAATCCATATTCATTGTGATTTAGGAATGTTAGGTGATTTCTGCCCTTTATGGATTAAAACCAGACTCTGTATCAGCTGTGTAATTTTCCATGGGAGTTTTGCCATGGATCCCCCTCCGGCATGCCACAGTCCAGGTGTTAGTCCCCTTGAAACAACTTTTCCATCCCTATTGTGGCCAGAAAGAGTCCCTGTGTGTTTTAAAATTAGCCTCCCCATTGAAGTCAATGGCGTTTCGGGCGGTTCGCCGGTTCGCGAACATTTGCGGAAGTTCGCGTTCGCCGTTCGCGAACCGAAAATTTCGGGTTCGCGACATCACTATTAATCACATGTAACTGACTGATAGCTTCTTGGACCGTAATACCTCTTCACTTTATTTTAGCAGATTGATTATGGTGCTCTGATACGTTTCAACATCACTGAGTGTTACTAGTAAATTAATATGCATTCAATTCGTGATTACAGCGGTTCTGTTTAAACGTCCTGCTTATTCTTAGTTACATTGTGATAACAATTATGGTAACACCTATTACATATACAAATGTAGCATTTTAGACCAAGATATTGTGACACTAAACGCTTGTCAGTGTCTGTTGAGCAGTGATCTATTTAGCATACGCTCCAATTATCCTACTAGTGGAAGTGTTCGTATTTGCTATACTTTCTGAGTAATATTATTAGAATATTTTGGCCATAAAAATACAATATCCACACATGTGTGCTGTTATAAAGATCTATTAAGGTGGCAATTAACAACCTTTCATTAGTGGGCTACTATAGCTCAACACCACAAAGATTGTTTTTAGATTTTTTTTGTTTTTTTCAATAGTGCTAATTTTCTCTTTTTTGGTTTTTTGCTAGCCTTTTTGTTTAGTCCTTGATTGACTTTACTTTTACCATGATTTATTAAAGGTTAAGTCTTATTACTTTTGACATTTTACCCCTGTGTATTCCTTATCTTCAGTATATTAAGTGTTGCATCCTCCATGTTTTTCTCCTTTGTTTGTTATTTGCAATCCAAGGGGTTAACCCACATCCGAGAGGTTTTGCACTGGCTCCAACGCTCTCATCTCTATTTATTTTCTCTTTTCTATATGTTGAGTATAAATGAAAAATCTGAACAGACTTGAGGAATAAATTTCAAGCAGTGTTTTGAATTGACTAATTGGGTGAAACAAACATATATAGAAAACATTATCTACACACTTAAAACACACTATTTGCTGTTATATAATAATATTAGTAGTGCAAGGTAGAAATCTATATTTTTCTGGGAAAGATGAGGGAAAAGATAGGCATGTCTTACTTCTCTCAAGACTTGCCATGAGGAAATGACCACAGCAAGTCTTGAGAGAAGTGATTGTTTGGCTCTGATTGGCCGCCAACTAATCAGAGCACTCTAATGAGAATTCAAACCACGGGGAAGCCTCTATAAAGGCTTTTCACACTTTGAAGCCTGAATCTGCAAAGAGCCCTCGTTGGGCAAAGTTTAATTTACCAAATAGTCCCACCCAATACCTAGTGGGTGCTGGGGTGGAGGACACAAGGTACCCACTTGTTTAATTATCTAGAGATCCCACCTGCAGACTTGGGGGGTTTGATGCTATGACCCCCTCAGTATAAAATTAGTAGCCTTCTCCCACTGACCACTGGTGGAGGCAGTTAGGACATTAGAATGTCTCAATAGTTATTAAAGGAACACTGTAGTCACCTAAATTACTTTAGCTAAATAAAGCAGTTTTAGTGTATAGATCATTCCCCTGCAATTTCACTGCTCAATTCACTGTCATTTAGGAGTTAAATCACTTTGTTTCTGTTTATGCAGCCCTAGCCACACCCCCAGGCTATATTTGACAGAGCCTGCATGAAAAAAAACTGGTTTCACTTTCAAACAGATGTAATTTACCTTAAATAATTGTATCTCAATCTCTAAATTGAACTTTAATCACATACAGGAGACTCTTGCAGGGTCTAGCAAGCTATTAACATAGCAGGGGATAAGAAAATCTTAATTAAACAGAACTTGCAATAAAGAAAGCCTAAATAGGGTTCTCTTTACAGGAAGTGTTTATGGAAGGCTGTGCAAGTCACAAGCAGGGAGGTGTGACTAGGGTTCATAAACAAAGGGATTTAACGCCTAAATGGCAGAGGATTGAGCAGTGAGGCTGCAGGGGCATGTTTTATACACAAAAACTGCTTCATTAAGCTAAAGTTGTTCAGGTGACTATAGTGTCCCTTTAATAGAAACAGATGTTGCAGAAATGAAAACATTTTTGGCTCTAGTCCTAGTGATGGGTATTGTCTACAAGCCATAATCATGTCCTAGTTGTACAAGCACCCAATCCTAGCTACCAATATTTGCCCAGGGATTATGAAGATGGATCGCTATGAACAAATGGCCTGATTCCTCCATTGTTTTGATAAGGCATTGTGTCCCCTTAGAAACCACCCATTGCTTGACAGGCTCTAAAAAATGTCCCCTTATCCAACTGCTGTCTGACAAATTTTCCCAAGATTATGTCCCCGCCCCCAAAAATTGTATTGACAAATCCATGATGAAATTTAAAGGTATACAAGATTCAGTTTGAGCCGTCATGATACGGCATCAAATTTTATAAATGATGTGAATCCGCTACTGGTAATACTTGGGTGTTTTGGATTGATCATGGGTAAGATAGTGTCACGACAATCCTAGAGGAGACTGGTTCGCTGTGCTCACTCAACAGATGCCACATGGATTTCGGTGTCATGGGAGTGAGGGACGCGCCAAGCCCACCTTTCAGCCGCCAGCTTATACTGCAAAACTACTGTGACGCGCCCCTAGTGCAAGGCGCACCGCACTCTCTCTTCATCCCTGCAGACACTCCATGTGTTTTGCAACATGCAAGGAAAGGCCTACCTCTCATCCTGTGGGCATGTTGGGTTATATGTGTTGTGTTCCCCATGCTGCTCCAGGATACCCGTAGGCTCACAAAGGTCTTGTGAATCCAGCTCAGCAAGTATGGAAGCAACATGGAATTGTATCTGTTAAATGAACAAACAAACATAGCATCCTACCCACATAAGGATTGTGGACACCTACTCATCCAGAGGAGCCTTCCAATTATATATTCCCTGAGACCCTTCCTTGTGGTAGTGCTCCTATTACCTCCCCCCTATTTAAGCACAGGCCACCTTAGGGTCTGTGAACAGTTGTTTTGTTGTCTCCCTAGAGTACAGAGCCAGATCCTGCCTGAAGTTATCCGATTACTCTAACCTTCCTGGATTTCCTGAATTAACCCCTGTCTTCCTGCCTGGACTCTGGTAATACTCCTTGCTTCCTGGATTTCCTGAATTAACCTCTGCCTACCTGGACTTTGGTATACCTTGCAATCTTGTTCGAGTCCTGGTTAACTCTGCAAAACCTGCTCCAACTTTGGTCAAGCCTTCACATCATTCATCCAGTGCTGACGTTTTGCTTTTCACATCAAGGACTTATTATTTCTTATCAAGATACTGTCTTAGTTTCTGCTTCTGTTTAGCACTGGGACATTTAAGTTAAATCTCCAGCCTCAAAATGCTGCCTTATTTGCGGTTTCCAATTTTAAACTGGGACATTTCAGTTACATCTTTTGCCTTATTTAATAAAGATCTTAAGTTTAAAGACGGTGTCTGTCCAAATCTCTGCACACTGAGCCCATTCACCCCAACCTCATGACAGCCATCTTGATCCATCAGGGTACCCTGATTCTGTCGGTAAAATGGCAATATTGTATGGGATCTGATCCTTCTCTTGTTACATAAGGGTTATAAGCTGTGGGTTCACAATTATTATACCAGTATTGATTTATTTAAACTTTTTTTTTTTGTTTCAAAATCCTAGCTTGTGGCACAGTGACATGAGAGGCTCCTCTTCAGCTCTGCTGTGTTTTATTGCAGAAAAAGCTAACAGTATTATTATATTTACAGTTAAAATGCCATGCAGAACTTGGAAAATGAAAAAACGTCTTAATTTCAATGGGATTTTTTTGTGTGTAAAAGAATTCTAATACATTTTATTGATTTTATACTTTTTTTTATTTGAAAATCAAAGGCATTTCAACAAAGTGAGTTCTGTTTGAGACCCCTCACTCACTGAAGAAGACAGATGCCTGATTACTGCTAATAAAAGCTCACAATGATGGAATCACATAGAATTTACTTTGCTTGATGTCCATAGAAAACAGAAGATTACAGATTCAGTAAAGGTAACAGAAAACTGATTTGTTAATTGATGCCCATGCACACTAGCTGCCATAACATTTGTAGACATTTCCCTCTGGGTGAATAAGCCATAGCACTCCGTTATCATACGAGACATGCTTAAAGTAATCAAATGTATCCAGCAGAGACCACTCAGTCCCAAGTGGGTTTGAAGAAGAGATTCCTTGTCTGTGGGGAAAAGACAGACACAATTATTATTTATAGTCATGTTTGTCTAGTCTCCTCTAGCACATTCCTGGATTGGCTTGTAGGTGACACTAGAAACTAAGGGTACAACAAATCCTACCATGCCCCGAATACAATGTAAAAATTACATATTTATGCATATACAGTCTGTTTTTTATAGTTACAGTGAATATATGTTTTAAAACAGATAAATAAAAACAGATAAATAGTCAGTACGTACCTTTTAAATACCATGCCATGGAAGGCAATTCCATATACTGATCCATCTGTGCCAGCTTCCACCATAGTCATACTATATTCCACACCTTGCCATTCACTGCCTTGGCAATTAGTTGGAGTCACATTCCGACGAAAAAATACTGCATTGTATTTGTTCACTCCCCAGCAGCCATAGAGACCACAGCTATAATACTTCAAGGTGCCTTCAATTTCGGTGAAAGGGAGATTTGCCCTCCTGGAAAGAGTGGAATCCTGGTTTTTGCAGTAAACCTTATCAGAGCCGGTCACACCGCCTATGAATATGTTGCCCCCTGCATCCACCTGTTTAAGGGATCCTATAAAAAAAATTAGAAGCAGAAAACAGGATATTTAAAATGAGTTCCTTTGTACACTTCCTGGATTCCTCATGGGATTGAAGCTTTAGTAAAATTAATAGGGTAACACCTGCACGTCCTGAAGCAAACCACACTGCAAACGTTGTCTGCATATCTGCACAAATCACATGGCCACTCACAACAATAAAACATATAGCATGACGGAATCGTTTTCCTCTACATCAAGAGATGCTCTATGCATGACTGAATGCAGGAACTGTGACCAGGGTGAAACCATCCATTAATTGCCTGATCTGGTACAGATCAGGCAGGTGAGACATGGGGGGCAGTTTACAGATTAGGTAAGTAAGGCATGGGGGCAACCTACAGATCCGTTAAGTGAGGCATGGGGGGGCAGACTACAGATCAGGTAAATGAGGCATGGGGGGCAGACTACAGATCAGGTAAATGAGGCATGGGGGGCAGACTACAGATCAGGTAAATGAGGCATGGGGGGAAGTGTGGGAAACACACGTGGATTGACAGGCTCTGATAAAAAATAAATCTCAATCTAATAACACATGGAAATAACTAGTTGATAATCATCACCTTTGAGATTATAGAAAATAATTCAGGACTTCATGTATGAAGTCAGAGTAGAAGGATGTAGTCCCTAATTTTTTAATTTTTGTTAAAGTTCCATGTCTGCTGTATGTCCCGTGTAATGAGATTCACTATTACCACATATGTGGACTATGATACATTAGAGAAAAGGGGAATGGCTACAGTCATGGAAGGGTTAAGTAGGTGCATTACTTCTGCCCACCGTGTGTTTGGGGCTGCACAAAGCATAGAAAATACACTGGGCAGTATACCCTTTCCTAATGTCTAAAATGTCAAAAACCTGTTGTCTTGCTCCTAGACTGCAGCTGTAAGTCGTTAGAAGCCTGTAGTCTTTCTAGCAGGTCCTATCAAACTTCTTTCTCCTATCCTAGCCTTTAATAACCTTATAACCATATCCTAACCTTTGAAAATGTAATATTGAAACTATTGCAGGGACTGGATCATTGGTGTTGGGGGCTAAGAGACAAACAGGTAAAATTTATTTTTTTCTAACAGGCTCTCCAATGGATGCTGAGAAGGCCTCTGTTAGAGGGCCTCCCTAAGGGCCCTTTTTTAAAATTATTATTATTATTATTATTATTATTAATGGCATTTATAAGGTGCGGGAAGTGTTGTGGGTGCAATCTGGTACTGTGGGCATATTCTGGTGCTGTGAATGTCTCCAAGTACTGTGGCAACTGCTGTGCACGCTACCTAGTGCTGTGGTGGTAGTTTTGAGTGCAGTCATTTTTATTTTTATAATTCAGTAATTGTGCCTTAATTATGTGTGTATGACTCATGTGGTGCATTAAATAGTGTTAACATTAAAACAGATTAGAAATTGCAACACTCAAATCAAACAATGGCAACTTGATTATTTTATTAATCTTTTGCATCAGGTTTCTTAACCCTTTGCATGCCTGCTCTTTATGTGATAATGACTATGCCCCTCCCCTTCACGACACTGTCAAAAGGGGTAGAGCATGAATGTCATTACACTAATGCCCCCTTCCCAGTGGAAAATGTCCTGTAGAAGCCCATGCCTGGAATAACTGTTTTTACTCCTTTAAACATGTATTACAGATAGCTTAGCTTGCTTGTTTCACTTCACTGGTCAGAAATGCTTTGAATTTGATAAAGGGAGAAACTCCTGTCAGCTCATCACTGTGAATTTATGATCATCCAATAAAAAAAGGTATTAAAAGAAACTACAATAAATCATTGTTTTGCATACACATTATTTGACTAATACAGCTACTCAAATATAATCAGTATTAATAACCGACAACTTTTGAAAATGTAAGCTAAAAAGGAGAGAAAGGGAACTTAAATGGCCATGTGGGAATGTATCAGAACACGTTATCCATTAAATAAAACATTGTATCCCTAAATAAAAAACATTATAGATGTATATCAGGTATCTATTTCTGTAGCGTATACATTCACAGTTCACCTTTAATGGCTCATTCTAAAGACTGACCTATGTACCAGTAAACTCTTACCTTCTACGTTCACCCAGACGCCATCTTGAATCTTGTAGATGCTGTTCTGTCTGTTTGCACCCCAAACACCGGCTGGACCCACACTGACATGTATCAGTTTTCCTGGAACCTGCTCCCAGTTATCACCATTCAAACGGAATATGTCATCGGCATCGTTGACCCCATAAACCTGTCCGGCTCCAGCATCCAACTGCTTCAGCTTCATAGGAGTCCGAGTACATTGCAGGCCTGGGTGTAAACAGAAAGAGCTTTGAGTGTTTAAGATGAGAGATATTTATCAAATTGTCACCAACACTTTTTTTTGTCTAATTTTTGGTGATTTGTTTTGTAAAATTGTTTTACAATTTATGAAATCTGTTGAATTTTTCCAACTGTTGCTTTTTTGTAGTCTGTCATTTTTAAATATGCTTCATTTTATGAATAATTTAACCACTTTTTTAGATAGAAAAGAGATTTGAAAATATATGTTCAGTGTTATTTAAATTGCAGTTGCTGATAAAAATGATCTATACTTGGAATTCAGTAAAAAGATCTGTCATATTTACTATCATGGTTGGCAAGCTGACATCTGAGCACAAATCAACTTAGTCAACAGATCTAGTTTTCTGGTGTACGTGCAAAATTTGCACTATGCTGGGGAATAAAATGATAAAACTGTTAAATGATATATTTGTGCATTTTTAATAAAGTTCTTTGAAGGAAATAACGAGTACACTGTGACGTCAGCAATGCATACAATTACACCACCCAGAACTGCGTGGCATTCCCTTGTCAGAATGAAGTATACGAAGGTGCGAATCTAGTTAAAGGACCACTCTAGGCACCCAGACCACTTCAGCTTAATGAAGTGGTCTGGGTGCCAGGTCCTTCTAGGGTTAACTGATTTTTTTATAAACATAGCAGTTTCAGAGAAACTTATATGTTTATTAATGGGTTAAGCCTTCCCCCTAATCCTCTAGTGGCTGTCTCATTGACAGCCACTAGAGGCGCTTGCGTGCTTCTCACTGTGATTTTCACAGTGAGAGCACGCCAGCATCCATAGGAAAGCATTGTAAATGCTTTTCTATGCGACCGGCTGAATGCGCGCGCAGCTCTTGCCGCGCGTGCGCATTCAGCCGGGGCAGAACGGAGGAGGAGTGAAGGAGGAGAGCTCCCCGCCCAGCGCTGGAAAAAGGTAAGTTTTTACCCCTTTCCCCCTTCCAGAGCTGGGCGGAAGGGGGACCCTGAGGGTGGGGGCACCCTCAGGGTCCATAGTGCCAGGAAAAAGAGTATAGTGGTCCTTTAATAACTAAGGACTTTAGTGGAGCCCTCTAAGCAGTATATATTCCACAGAAGCAAGTATTGTGAAGAGCTCTTTAGCAGCTATTTACAACCTGGAGCAGTGGTTTGCAATGACACAAAGTTAACTCAGACTCTATTTCATCAGGAAACTTTATACAGGTGGAGCCTTTTATTGTATAGCATACATTAAGGAAGCCCTGAAGCCAGATGGTTCCTGTTTTTTCTTTAGTGGGCACTTATATATTTAGTAATTGTGGACAATGATTGCTTGGTACTATTGGTCTGCTTGACATTTCTAAACATTGGCAGTCCTTGTCATGTTTTGAATAAAATATTTTTGGTAATTAGTATATACCCATGAATGTGTGAGCGCTCCCTGTATTTTTTGAAACTACTTGTTGTAGTAGACCATTTATGGGTGCTGTTTTTTTTTTTAATGGACAGAGGCATTTTTTGGGGGCGGGGGGTGGGAGGAGGGTTATGCTTATAGATATTGGGACCTAACTTCATAAAAAGTTGTTAAATTATAAACAGTGACATATAATCGCGTTATGCTGATATTACTGAAACTAAACAAACTTACAAAAATAAAAGCTGGGGTCTATGAGACCCCAGAAGAATATACATTTTTGTTTAATTTGAACACACACAAAAAGCAACTATCCCTTAACGGAGATAGTAAGTGATACACTAGAGTGTCTGAATAAAGGAAGCAGCTCAACACAAAAAGTGGAATACCCTAATCCACAATAAAGTGCAAATATTCAAAAAAGAAAGGTATAGACAATATACCAACAAGTGGAGCACTATGGTAAGTGTAAATAGTAAGGGGGTACACTAACCCCTCCAATACAGTGATAGTCTTGAAAATATATATCCAAATATACATATAAAACAAAACAAATAAAGAGAATATATAGTGCAGATGGTTTGACAAATGAAAGCAATTGATGGTAACAAGATGCTTTAAACCACTCACATGGATTGGAGCCTATATAGAATTGGCTCCGTAAATGATTCCTTTTTGCTTTTAAGGCAGCAACACACCCCTTTGTCCCAAACGATATTCCTTCAGGGATATACAACAGACAGAAAAAAACCTGATAGGTAGTATTGTATGGAAAAAGATAATAAAACCGGTGATAAAGGTAGTGCTCACCTTTAACAGAGCCTTAAATCCCCGGCTCTGAGGTAGAGAGACATTATGCTAATTGGATCAGGGTAGCATTCCCCACATAAGGTTCCTGGAGGCTAGAAAGGACTTATGGACTAATGTAAATAAAATAAATAATAATTTATTGAAATAAAAACAATGCTACACTAGTAAAGAACACATAAATACAAATGAGAAAAAAGTCCAAGTATAAAAGTCCAAATGGTCCAGCTAAACGCTTTCACTCTATTTGTAGCTACAGCTACTGAGGAAGCTCATATAGAGTGAAACGCGTTTAGCTGGACCATTTGGACTTTTATACTTGGACTTTTTTCTCATTTTTATTTATGTGCTCTTTACAAGTGTAGCATTGTTTTTATTTTTATTTCAATAAATTATTTATTTTATTTACATTAGTCCATAAGTCCTTTCTAGCCTCCAGGAACCTTATGTGGGGAATGCTACCCTGATCCATTTAGCATAATGTCTATCTACCTCAGAGCCGGGAATTTAAGGCTCTGTTAAAGGTGAGCACTACCTTTATCACCGGTTTTATTATCTTTTTCCATACAATACTACCTATCAGGTTTTTTTTCTGTCTGTTGTATATCCCTGAAGGAATATCGTTTGGGACAAAGGGGTGTGTTGCTGCCTTAAAAGCAAAAAGGAGTCATTTACAGAGCCAATTCTATATAGGCTCCAATCCATGTGAGTGGTTTAAAGCATCTTGTTACCATCAATTGCTTTCATTTGTCAAACCATCTGCACTATATATTCTCTTTCTTTGTTTTGTTTTATATGTATATTTTGGATATATATTTTCAAGACTATCACTGTATTGGAGGGGTCAAGTGTACCCCCTTACTATTTACACTTACCATAGTGCTCCACTTGTTGGTATATTGTCTATACCTTTCCTTTTTTGAATTTGTTTAATTATTTACTTTTTTTTTTACAAAACAAAACTGTTAAGCAAGCTATAATTGGGAAAAAAAACCTGTATTGCAACTAACCTAAAATAAATTAAAAACATAAAAATTATGTGTTACACTTTAAAACATACCTAAATAGTGAAAATCACCTTTAACCTGTGCTAACCTTTCTCATGAGATGCTCTGTTTTCATTTAAATTTACAATACATATATAGGAGTTTGTATCATAATCCAGTTCAGACTAGGCAAATCATCCTCTACTCTTGAGGCTCACTCTACACTGACAGCCAGATACAAAGGACAGAGCTGAGAGCAATAAATGACAAATATGATAGAGATGCCAATTGCAAAATAAAGATATGTGAATTGTCATGTTTAAAGGGACACTTCAGGCACCAATGCAACTTTAATGCATTTGATAGGTTTTGGCCACATTAATATGCTGTGTGCTATGTAGTTATGTTCATGCAGTAGTGTCAGTGGCTGAGCTGTGTGCATACATTGATAAGGAATTATTTTCCTGGTGTGAGGTGCATGACTAAAGACACAGACCTACGACGTAGCATTCTGCAAAACCTTTTTTATTTTAATGCAAAATGTATAAAGCATTTGAGCATGCAAAAATACAGCATATTAATACGACCAAAAAATACTTATATTGGGGCCAGGAGTGTCCCTTTAATTTTTTACAAATAACAAATATATATTTGTTAATTATAAGGAAAGTATACATAATATTGAAAAAAAATCTGGAAACAGTTTGTGTAGAAATCATACAATTCAAAGTTTAGGGAATCAAAATGCTGGTAAAAGAAGGGAGCAGGGGAAGGTACAGCTACAAATGGGATGAGAAGCAGAAGGAAAAAGGGTACCTGCAGCGACATTCAGCATCATCAAGGTCAGGCAGATGTAGAACTTCATCTTGGAGGAAAGATCAGCCAAGAGAGGAGTAAACCCTGTCCTGAAATAACTTCTTATTTATACACTTCTCCATTCACAATGAATATCTCATGTGTCTTGATTGACAGGTAAGTTGGGATGTAAACCTGCAGGCAATAGCCTAAGGAAGTATCTCAGAATTGTAAAACAATTTGATGCAATTTCAGCCTTGAAACAGGTCCCTGAAACATATTCTCCTGGAATCCTGGTTCTCTAGAATGTATTGATGAATATCTGACAAAATGTGCTGTGAATGAATAATTCAATGAACACACAAATACATAGAAACATGTGATTAACATCCATAGCAGATTCACGAGACCCCTTAATTAGTCTTCATAGTGAGCCCAATCCCCCCTAATATAATACTCCAATCCCCCATTATATAATTTCTTGTTTGATGGTTACTGAAAAATACTGAGGAATTGGCAAGACAGTTTTAATTGTCACGTTGTGAATGAGCATGGCAAGACAGTTTTCATTGTCACGTTGTGAATGAGCATGTCAATCCATTTAGGTTATCACTGGATAAAAAAAATATTCAGGAACTCTTGTTTCATTATGTATAAATATTTCTATTTCTGTTTAATTTATCTCTTTCCACATTTTTTTCTGACACCTCTAGTGTATTAATACTTGCAGCAGTTATGTGTTCCCTATTTAGTGATAAGTGGCATGGTTTTAAGAATTACAAATTGGAGTTATCCAGATCAGCAAAAATCAGTTAACCTAATCAAATTGCATTTGTAAATCTCATATTTATCAAAGGCACATACAGTCATTTTAATTAAATAGACACTTTTATTGCAATTCAGTCATTAGGAACAATCCACTGTCTGCTTTAAAATCAAATTAATTTCTCGGATTCAGTTGCTCTCTAAAATATAGGATTTGCAAAA